CTCTCTTCTCATGAGATGGCTGTACCCCAAAGTATTTGGGTGTCCCTCTGGAGCAGACCCTGACCTACGAAAAACATGGTCTACACACTAAACAGAAAGTTGCCACCAGAAATAACTTACTAAGGGAATCGTGTTGTGCCAGAATGGAGTGCATGCGCAGAAACAATAAGAACACCAGCTTTGTCTGTGTGCTTTTTTTACAGCAGAATATGTTATCGCCATATGGTATAAATCAGCACATCCTGAACAAGTGGACGAAGCTCTTAATGAATCATGCAGAATTATTAGTAGCTACCTGAAATTTACCCCCACTAAAAAAGTCTTTTATTTGGCTGGCATTGTAACCTCTGGAAGTGTCGAGAGGTGCTAGCAAATAACAAGTGAAATACAGCACAAAACCCATCTACTTCATGGACACCAACTCCCTAGGCAATGGCTAAAATCGAGGGAAAGTTTTTTGTACATTGCGCAAGCTCTAAATGTTAAACCAGAAGAGGCTCGGCCAAACCTATGGAGAGCAAAGACGCCTTGCTGAATAAATAAATGCTGAAGAATATCGTCCACCAGGACAAGAGTCTGGCTGGAACATCCGGAGGTCACTTAATAAACTTCAAAGTGAAGTAGGAAGATAAAAGAATAAAGTAAAATTGACACCGGACAAATTTTCTGTGACTGTGGAGAAATTCAGTCCATGCAGCACTTTTGTGCATACATTTTATGCCCTGCCATGTGTACAAAGGAGATCTAGTAAACAGCTAATGCTATTGAAGTAGCCCGCTTCTGGTCAAAAATAGTTTGTTTTAACATTTAAATTTGTTTATAATTTTACCTGTATTTCATATACATCCATAATTTTAAACTGTGCAGGACATGAATAAGGAATGAAAGCGGCCAAACCTATGGAGAGCAAAGACGCCTTGCTGAATAAATAAATGCTGAAGAATATCGTCCACCAGGACAAGAGTCTGGCTGGAACATCCGGAGGTCACTTAATAGACTTCAAAGTGAAGTAGGAAGATAAAAGAATAAAGTAAAATTGACACCGGACAAATTTTCTGTGACTGTGGAGAAATTCAGTCCATGCAGCATTTTTGTGCATACATTTTATGCCCTGCAATGTGTACAAAGGAGATCTAGTAAACAGCTAATGCTATTGAAGTAGCCCGCTTCTGGTCAAAAATAGTTTGTTTTAACATTTAAATTTGTTTATAATTTTACCTGTATTTCATATACATCCATAATTTTAAACTGTGCAGGACATGAATAAGGAATGAAAGGAGGATAAAATAGCAAATGAAATCCGCAACCCATTAGATCAGAGCCAAGCCATAGGCCAAAATCCTCTTAACAACAGCCCAAGGATAATCACAACTTGGGGTGGGTGGGGGCTGCCCTTTCTGGAATTGGTGGCATGTATGATTTTTGCAATGAATGTATGGCCATTCACATGAAGGAGAATTGGTCAGATGGGAAAAAGCCTTCCTGAAGTAGCATAAAGGAGCAGGGTTTGGAACGTGGTCAGAAGGCTTGGGTGGAAGAACCAGGTCTTAACTTTCTGCAGAAATTCTGCTTGCATTGAGCACCTCCTATGTCTTTAAGGAGAGGGGAAAGTGTTTCAGAATCGAGAGGCCACAACTTTCTCTTTTCTGTTGATGTTGTTGGTGGGAGACTTGAGGCAGATCTTTCAGCACTGTTACCGTTTGTGAGTGGACAGTTGCGTTTAAACTACTGAGAGGCCACAACTTTCTCTTTTCTGTTGCTGTTGTTGGTGGGAGACTTGAGGCAGACCTTTCAGCACTACAGTATGACCATTTGTGAGTGGACAGTTGCGTTTAAACTACCAAGAATAATGAATGGGAGGACCTGCCATGCACTGCAAAATAAGAGGTGTCTGCTTACCATGTCCAGTAACATACTGATGGGGGACATGCTGTTTCCTACACAGGAAGTATTATCCATGCAGGAGAGTATTTGCACCTGAAAAAACATATTCCTCCTCTTGACCTTTTATTTTGATGGTATGGTTTTGTGATGAAATAAAAGGCATTGCTGACCCCACCCCCCGGACAATCCCAAGCTTATTTTGAACCTACTCCCATGCTATTTTCTTAGGATAAGAAAAGTTATAACTTTCAGTCTGTTCCAAAGTGGCAAAATACAAAGTTTCCACCATTCTCAGGGACAGCGCACAAACCAAGCCAATGCCTCTGAGAATCACAGCGGGAACTTTTTATTTGTTGGTGGACTGAATGTTTCAAATTTCCTTATGCTAGGCAACAGGATTTCAACCACTGACTTTCTATGAAGGGGTGGTTAGGTACAAAATTTCCCTACCAAAATTATATGTGATGGATAGAATAATTTAAGCGCTTACTTTAGCTGGTGTTAAAAAAAATCCAAAGAGATCTTGATAGGCTTGATGTGATGAAATAAAAGACATTGCTGATCCCCCCTCCCCGGGACAATCCCAAGCTTATTTTGAACCTACTCCCATGCTACTTTCTTAGGATAAGAAAAGTTATAACTTTCAGTCTGTTCCAAAGTGGCAAAATAAAAAGTTTCCACCATTCTCAGGGACAGCGCACAAACCAAGCCAATGCCTCTGAGAATCACAGCAGGAACTTTTTATTTGTTGGTGGACTGAATGTTTCAAATTTCCTTATGCTAGGCAACAGGATTTCAACCACTGACTTTCTATGAAGGGGTGGTTAGGTACAAAATTTCCCTACCAAAATTATATGTGATGGATAGAATAATTTAAGCGCTTACTTTAGCTGGTGTTAAAAAAAATCCAAAGAGATCTTGATAGGCTTGAGCACTAGGCTGAAAACGACAGAATGAAAATTAACGGGGATAAATTCACAGTTACAAGATGGGGAATGCTTGGTTCAGTAATACTGTGAATGAGAAGGATCTTGGAATTGTAGATCACAAGCTGAATGTGAGCCAACAGTGTGATGTGGCTATAAAAAAGGGCAATGCTATTTTAAGATGCATTAGCATTAGTATAGTCTCCAAATCTTGTGAGGTAATAGTTCCCCTCTATTCAGCACTGGTTTAGGCCTCATCTTAACTACTGTGTCCAGTTCTGGACAACAGACTTTAAGAGGGATGCCAAGAAACTGGAGAACGTTCAGAGAAGAGAAACAAGGATGATCAGGGGACTGGAAACCAAGCGTTATGAGGAAAAACTGAAGGAACTGGGCACGTTTAGTCTTGAGAAAAGAAGACTGAGGGGAGATAGGATAATCATCCATCATCCCAGAGTGCAGGACATGCAATAACGGATTATTACAAACTACAAGAAGCCAGATTTAGGCTGAATATTACGAAAAAAGGTCTTAACTGTTGGAGCAGTACGGCAATGGAACCAGTTACCATAGGAGGCAATTGAGTGCTCCAGAACTGGAGGCATTCAAGAGAAAATTGAATAGTCACCTTTCAGATCAGCTTTGTTTTGCATTCCTGCACTGAGCAGGGGGTTGAACTCAATGGCCGTATAACGCCTTCCAAGCCAGTTATTCTATGAGCTTTGAAAAATATATTTGTCTTGGTTGTCCAGTGTTCCTGGGCTCTGCTTGTATCTTGGAACACAGGTCAGATCTAGCAAATAGAATATGGAAGACTAAGGTAAACGGTAAAGGTTCCCCTTGACAATTTGTCCAGTCGTGTCCAACTCTAGGAGGTGGAGCTCATCTCAGTGTCCAACCCATAGAGCTAGCGTTTATTCGAAGACAATCTTCCGTGGTCATGTGGCCAGTGTGACCAGACACGGAAGACTACACCTTATTTTACCTTGAACTGGTTTTGTTTTGTTTCTCCTTGACAATCACTGTGGCTGTGGAGTTTACCTGTTTCCACAGACAAAATCTTTCACCTGTTGTCTAGATTCTCTTCTTGCTCGTTTCTCTCATCCTTTATTGAGGAAGCATTAATTTCCAGATTTCTGCCTGCATCTTCGCCCTCCTCCTTTAAAGATCTGTGTGCTCTTTTATATGGGGAGGGAGGCCGCGTTCAGGAATTTGTGATGTGATCCAGCATGTCGGGAACTGTTTCCAGGAAATGAAATTCCATTTACCTGGCAGGAATTGTCGCCCGTGCTAACCCTTTGCACTTGGGAGGCAAATGGGACCGTTCTTCCCTGGAGAACTGATGGATCCCTCTCCTGGTTCTCTCTAGAATCAGAGGAAGAGCAGCGTTTGCAGCTAAGTCTGGAGTTCATGTCGCAGAGTTGCTGTCGGCTTCATACTCTAATGGGTTTGCCTCTAAGATTATTTTCCCCCCTTCTAACAGCGCTGTTGGAGCTCAGACCTTGTTGCTCTCAGGTTTCAGGAAAAGAAGATGTTTGAAAGTCCCCTCCCCCTTTTAATGTCTCAGTCTATTAATATTTTAAAGTTGAAGATGGATTTATAAATAATCCTAATGCTTTTCTGCAAACAAGAAGAGCTAACAGTAGGGAGGAGAGATGGGCACGAACCTCGGTTCAAAGGTTCATGCGGGAGGGTATGTGTAGGGCCACAGGTGCTGCACATTCCCTTCCCCTGCCTCCCCAGTCAGTGACCCCACTCCTCTGTTGGAGCGCATTCCTCTCCTCCTCAGTCAGCTGTTCAGCCGTTCCCCCAGCAGGAGCACAGATTGGCCTGTCCTGACTCCTTGTCTGACTGCATGTTCATCTAAGGAGGTGGTCCAAGGAAGCCCGTGCGCCTAATGGGGGGGTGGTGTGGTCGAACAACGGAAGGGGAGGAGGAGAGGAGTGCATGCTGGCTGGTGAGTGGGGGGATCCAGCCAGGAAGGTGGGAGAAACGAATGAGTGGCATCTGTCGTGCCACACTTATAAACTTGCACAAACCTCCGAACCGAGATTTGTGCCCGTCTCTAAGAGGGAGAGTATAATCAGATTACTCTTAAGGACGGTGGTGGTTGTTGGTCATATGGGAAAAAAGGTAACTCTTAGCATGCAGAAAAAATAATAATTACCTTTTTGTGTGTTTTCTCTGCAGATGCATTGCTAGCTGACTTGGAATCTACTACCTCCCACATCTCCAAGCGGCCGGTCTTCCTGTCAGAGGAAACATCTTATTCCTATCCAACTGGAAATCATACATACCAGGAAATCACTTTACCTCCTCCAGTGCCACCCCCTCCTTCCAATGAGGCCTTAAATGGGACGGTAAACGACCCTTTAGACCAGTGGCCAGCCAGCCTCTCCAGAAACATTCACCAGCAGGTACTTTAAAAACAAAAATCTGAGCCACATAACCTTGTGTTTCCTTAAGGTGCAGTTGTGGAAGTGAGGAACTCTGTTCTGAGTTTGTGCGGTGCAACTTGTTCGTTTGTTAAAATTCTTGCAATTTATGGCCTAATCCAGTTGGTCAGCCCACTGAATTGGTGAGGATTACAGAAGTGTTGATTGAGTGTCCTGCATTTGATTTAGCGAATCTTCTCTCATTGGGACCAGCAGTTGGATTTAGGCCCATATTTCCTCTCAGAGAGAAGTGGCCAAGGTATATAATATAATATAATGATACAGTTAAATACCGTCATATGAATAAATAACAGTTAATCAGTAATATAGTAGAAGTTCACAACAGAGTTTTCATCTGTCCAAACAGTGCCTATGAATGTAAAAGCTACCCCAATTAGTAAGCCTAACTAAATAAAATTCTTTTGGTCTGGCGCCTGAAGGCCATCAAAAAAGGAGGGTTAGTCTGATATGCTGGGATGAGTTCCAGAGTTACAGAAAAAGTGCCATGCAAAGCAGAATCTCCTCAAGGATCTGAGCAGAATAGTCAGATTTCCATTTAACCACATTCTAAGTCTTCTAGGTTTTACACACAGCCCTTTGAATTGGAATTAGCTCTCAATGCAGATGAAATAGCAGGCAAATCATGTGTTCTGAAACTCTTTTGACTACAACTCTTACTAACTGGAATTTCTGAAGCCTTTGAAAAACAAGCCCCCATTGTGTACATTTATATAGCACTGCAATATTGATGCAAGAAAAGTACAAATAATCACGGCCGGGTCTCCCTTGTCCTCCTGAGAATGGGCACCCCAGCCTAAGGAGGATGAAGGTACTCCTGTATAGAGCCACTACCTGCCTGTTAAGGAGTGGACACTTACTCCTTACTCTTACAATGGATTTCCCCCTCCCCATCTCATCCATTTCAGAGAAGAGGTAATTGTTCTGACCAGAAGTGGCTCTATCTTGTCTGAATACAGTCTCATTCTGGTAACCCCATATTTAGTCCATTACCGATTGAGAACTTCAGTTCAAGACCTTGACACCCTCTTTGGAGCATGATGAAAAGAAAAGGAGTTGGATAGCTTTATTTAATGACGACACAGCATCCTCATTCTCTGAAAAATGACTCTCTTCCTGCAGTTTAATGTCATTCCTTTTTTCGGGAACAGCAACAGAATTAAACTCTTTTTAAAGAAAGGAGTTTAGATGGTTGTTCTGGGTTTTTCGGGCTCTTTGGCCGTGTTCTGAAGGTTGTTCTTCCTTACGTTTCACCAGTCTCTGTGGTCGGCATCTTCAGAGGAATAGATACTGTGTTAAGTCAACGTTGTCTGAAAACAGGTTGAAAGCCTCTCTTCAATTTATGTACAATATAAAATTTTAGGTTCTATCTTTGGGTTTATGAAAAGAACTGGCTTGTTATCCTTTTCTTGCAGCTGGAGAAGGTTACCAAAATATAGAAGCAGCCATTCCAACCGCAATCTAGTAGATGGCAGAATATGGCCGAAAACATTAGTGCACCTTAAAATCTACCTTACTTGTCTATTGTATAAATGAACCGTCTCATTTGTTTAATAATAAAATACAAGGTTTTGATATCCCCCCCCATCTCCTGGCAAATGAAAATTTGTGGCTAGTGATTGCCCTGTGCTTCTGAGTGAGACTAGATATTTCTGTGTTTAATGGAAAGAAACCTCCACAGGCTTTGTCTGTGTTTTTTTTATTAAAAAAACCCAACAGCGTTGTCCACCAGCGAGCTTCATGTTCTGTTTTTTTTGCTGACTAGGCTTGAGGTTTGACTGCTTCCATGGAAACAGACTGTCCACTCTCCCATCATCTAAGATATCCTTCCTGTTTAGGCACAGCAGTGCTCAAACTTAGCTGTCAGCAGAACTCGCCATTTGTTCTAGTCTATGAAGCTAGAACTGAAATTTCACACTGTGGAAATTACATTCATAGCCTGCCTGTTGGAGGTCTTGTCTGGAACCACATGGGATGAGATAGATCTTACTGATACACCTTACAGCAGAGGTTGTCAACCCCTGGTCAGTGGCCTGAGCCGGACCGGGCCGCAAAGACAGACCTCCCGCCCCCCACATTCCCCAGAGCTGCTTTCTGCACGTGCACATGTGCCAGCGTGAGCGCTCCCCCACCCCTTCACACATATGCCCGAGAGAAGGGGTGGGCAGGTGGGTGTGCAGGTGCCCCTGCGGATGCCGAAGGGGTGGGGGAGCAAGCGAAGGGGTGGGCAGGTGGGTGTGCAGGCACCCCTGCGGATGCCGAAGGGGTGGGGGAGCGCTCACGCTGGTGCGGGTGGGTGCTCCCCCAGTGCTTTGCGCATGCGCCTGAGAGCATGCACCTGCAGGGGGGGCGCCTTCCTCGGAGGCTCAGCCGGTCCGCGGTCCCAAAAAGGTTGGGGACCGCTGCCTTACAGCATCCGACAGACAGACCGTGGTGTTCATTGCTCACAGGTAGATGGGCTATTTGTTGAAGCTGGGAAGAAGCATGAAGTGTGTTTCTGGAGGGGAGGGGAAGGGCCAGTTCTAGGGAGAACAGATTGTTACTGGGCTGCATCCTGTTGGTTCCACATTCCAAGGCCTCAGTCCTGAATTGCGTATGAGTAGAAGCTGGCTCTTAAAACCAGTTTTGGTCTGGATGGAGCAAAGCTGTCAGAGTGACGATGGATTGTAAAACAGAGCTGAATGCGTCACGTTTCATCTTATTGAATGATGTGCAGTTTATGCAAACCACTTATATAGGTAGGTTGCTACATAATAGATGTAAAAGGGGGGGAGGATGTGAGATAGCATCAGCAAATGGCCCAAGAGCATGTTGTGAGTCTTCCTACCTGAAGTAATTGATCTTTGTCCGCTGTTCCTTTCTAAAACAAAAGGTGTTGGGTTTGGTTGCACCTGGAAACTGGTATATAGTTGTAATATGTGATTGCTAAATGGCAAGAGAATTGCAGTAGAACCCCCTGTCTGCGGAATCAGTATCCGCTGATTCCCTTATCCGCTGTCTGAAAATTCTAAATAAAAAACCTCAGAGATCTATACAGTATTTATATGTATTTCCAGGCATATTTACCAGAACTGGTCACAAGAGGTTTATATGTATTTCCAGGGCATATTTACCAGAACTGGTCACAAGAGGGAGCCAGGGAGCACGCAATGTGTAGTGCTTGGTGCATTTTCCAGCATCCACCAGTCCTCTGCAGATATTGTGATTGTACTGTACTTTTGTATGATTCGAATGTCCCAAAGGCTGAATTCAGAACAAATTCTGGGTTCTAAGATCCAGCTGATATTAATTCCTAGACCTTCCCCCCACCCCTCAAGTACCAAGGCCAGCTCTGTCCACTGCTTGGTCTGTTCTTGCCTTGGGTTGATGAAAAGGAACCAAGGGGTGAATTATGCACTGTGCAGAGTTCCATGAAACATCCTTCTGACTATTGAATGAAAGGCACCTTTTGGAGGTTGCAGTCAAAAGCAAGGAAAGGGAAGGCTATCATCCTTTCCTCTCTCCTTCCCCCCGCCCCCCGGTCTTTTATTGCCCTTCTGCCCCACCCACCCATCCACAACTCTTCTCCCCACTGGGCAAGAGTTGCTGGGAATATATGCATAAGAGCAACAGCTTGGAAGAGATTAGTTTGAGAAAAGGAGCATCAAAGAAAGGGTTGAGAGCGCCCCATGAGCCCTCCTTTGCTTCTGCTTGTAGTTCCCGAGCAGGTGCTTTTCCTTAAGAAACAACGTTGGTGATGTTCATGGCAGACGGACTGTTAGTGGGTGAGTGTAACACAGAGATTGCCACCTCTTCCAAACTCCTCTTTTTAGCTATGACCTCTGTAGATAAAATTAAGCATGCTATTTTTGAACCTGTTATTTTTGAAATTATTATTTATTTCCGAACCTTTTCCACTTGCCATAGGGGCCATAATGCTGACTAGCGCACAGGGCTGATGTAAAGGTTGCTGAAATAATGAGTGCAAAGCCTGAGATGAATAAAGGGTTTAAATGTGTACTAACGTAGTTAGAGGATAATCTCATATACTGCAAGAGGAACTTCGCAGGTAGAGGTTTTTGCTCACGTAGCCTTGATATCCTAGTTTATTTTCATAAAATTGTTCTTTCTGCAGCCACAGTCCCAGTCTCCTGTCTACAACTCCAGTGCCTCTGTATCCAGAGAGTGTGGTATCTCTCCTTCTCGTGCAAGTGAAGAGGAACACGTCTATAGGTATTCCTTTTTTCCCCATCCTTCCTTTTTCACTCCACTCTCAGGCCACAACGTTCCAGGTGAGACCAGGAGCTTCTTCTGATTAATGAAGTTGGGAAATATTTGGAATCCATGTTGGCCTCCCTGCTATGTCTGTAGCTTCAAAACTAGTTCTAGGGCAGTGGTTCCCAACCTTGGGTCCCCAGATGTTCTTGAGCTACAACTCTCTGAAATCCTGGCCAGCACAGCTTGTGGGGAAGGATTCTGGGAGTTATAGTCCAATAATATCTGGAGACTCAAGGGGCCACTCACTGGATGTGCTTGTCTCTGATGGGTGGAAGTTGCTGTCTCACAAAATCTGAAAGACCATGCATTTCCATCCTTGTCCTTCTGATGAATATTCATGAGATAATAATAAATAAACACCTCACCGGTATTGTGTCCATTTCTGGGCACCTCAATTCAAGAAGGATGTTGACAGCCTGGAGTGTATCCAGAGGAGGGTAACCAAAATGGTCAAAGGTCTGGAAGTCATGTCCTACGAGGAGCTCCTTAGGGAGTTGTGAATGTTTAGCCTTCCAAAAAGAAGGTTAAGAGGGGACATGACAGCCATGTTTAAATATTTGAAAGGATGTCATGTTGAAGAGGGGATAGGTTTGTTTTCCATGGCTCCAGAGACTAGGACACGGAGCAAAGGTTTCAAACTACAGGAAAAGAAATTCCACCAGAATCTCAGGAAGAACTTCCTGATGGTTGGAGCAGTGGAATACGAGGCTGCCTTGGAGGGTGATGGAGTCTCCTTCTTTGGAGGTTTTTAAGCAGAGTTTGGATGGCCATCGGTCGGGAGTGCTTTGATGGAGTTTCCGAACTCCCCCCTGTGGTCTCTTCCGTGATTCTGTGAAATAAATAATAAATCTTAAGGACTTCAAAGGTGGAAGGGACCCTAAGTATCCTTGAGTCCTTCCCCTGTCAAGAAGGCACAAGTGGGGAATCGAACTCCCAACCTCTAGTCAGGGACCTTAGCCCCTGAGCTATCCAGCAGTTCATTCCACAGTGGGATTCTGTGGTGGTGAAATTCACCTAATTCTTACCTAATACGGCAGCAGAGATAGGAGACGTTGATTCTTAATTTTTATATTGCAACCTGTGATCAATTTTGGGCCTGCATTTGGACACAGCTTATTCTGCAGTCCAGCTGCAGAAAGTGGATTTGAGCAGTTCTCTTCGTATATCAAGTTACTGTATTTAAAGATTATAGAAAGTAAACCTATATTTTCCAGTCTAACAAATGCCATCAAGGCAGCTCTCTTCATACATCAAATGGCTTTATGATCAGTAGAGACAAAAACCTGTATCATCCAATCTAACAAATGCCACAAAAAGCTGATACATTCAGCTCTTGCCATATATATATCAAATTATTCTAAGATCTGTAGAAGCAAAAAGTTATCAGATCTCAGAAATGTCACTAAAGGTGTTTCAGTATATACACTATCAATTAAAGCAGCAGTGCATGTGTTAAAACCTTTGGGGATTTATTGCTAATTGCAGCTCTGTAAAGATTGTCATTGTTTATTCCGGGAGTTCCAAACCTTTTTTGAGTCACAGCCACCTTTTATAAAAGCCATGTAACCTATGACCCTCACTGCCATGTTTGCATAAAAAAGGCATTTTTAACGAGGTAAAGAAAACTCATTAAAATACATTCTTTCAGAATATAATTCTAATATTTAATATGATGGTTGTACTTGTTTTTTCTTTTTCTTTTTCCTTTCCCCTTCATTAGGCTTTCTGGAAGAGTCTTAGTTAAAATCCCATCTTAATAATGATAATAATGATAATAATGATTCATCATCATCATCATCATCATCATCATCATCACAGCAATCCGGGAAGGAGCCTGGCTGGCACTTCCCCGCCTCCTTGCACAGCCAGCCACTCTGGCGTGGGGGCAGGACAGCAAGGCTTCCCACGCAGCTCATGACCCCACCTCTGCGCTGCAACTGGTGAGTGGACTGAATAGTTCTTGGGGTGGGGGGAGGACATTGGCCTCCGTGGTACCTGTGGTGTCACTATTTGTATTCATATCCCCAGGGATACAAATATGAGTAGCCCATGTTTTCTGCTCTGTGATTCTCATGACACTTCTAGGAGTCTGCTGTGGGTTTCCCCCCTTTTTTTCTTTTTCCTCCCCTTCTTTAGGCTCTCTGGAAGTTCTATATCTTAGTTAATATCCCTTTCTTGCAGAAGTGGCAGCAATTATATTTTTCATTTAGCATTCCTTCCTTCCTTCCTTCCTTCCTTCCTTCCTTCCTTCCTTCCTTACTTACTTACTTACTTACTTACTTACTTACAAAAAATTGTGCGAGCTGTTCCCTCTCAGAGTAGAGGCTTTTTTCTCTCCCCTGAAGGACCTGTTTCTCATACATAGATATACACATTAAACTTGTACATCCTGCTCCAAAAGGACAAGGAAGAAATTATTTAACAAGGGCTACAGCACTTTGTGACTCCCAGGGTGGGAAACATGGGTTTATGCAGTGTCCTCTCCTCACATAGTAGTCTACAGAAAAGGAATGGGGGAAAAAAACAGCAGCCTTTCCCAGTTTCAAGTAGCAAGCAACTTAAACCTTAACTAGCAAAGATATATCTATATTTACAAATATACAAAGGATAGTTGTAGCTCTTTGATTTGTTGCTGTTTTTATATACATGATAAAGCTACGTTGTGGTTTCCAGAGCAGTCAAAGCAAAACCCTCACAAAGGCTACAGTTTAAAGTTTGACAATATGGTGAGATTGAGTGGAAGGAAGGAAGCGCAGGGGGAGTGTTAGTCGTGGGTAGATCTGAGCAAGTGCAGTTTTAGCAAAGGGCTCAAGCTATATGCCTTTTTCAGATTCTGAGGAAGGAATTAAAGGAACAGAAACAGCTTCACTTAGAGATTGTCCAGAGAATGGCTGCAGCTTAAATGGCTGAGCTCATACTTCTATTTCATTACAAGGAAGCAGCTACCACCATTTATTCTATAAATGCCAAAATGCCGTTCTTCACATTTTATGCTATATATGTCCATGAATGGCACTGTGTGTGTCACCACCACTGTGTGTCTATACAAAACAGAAGCGAAAACCTATCCAATCCAGTCTTAAGGATGGTAAGAATTCTGTTTCAGTTTATTTTTAATAAGAAGTCGCCAGACTTTCCAACTTTTTCATGTTTGACACTGAAACAGCTGGATTAATATATATCTTCTACTACAGTATATATATATTTGTAGTAGAAACCAAAACAGTGAGATTCTGTACATCCAGGCCCAAGACTTAAAACTCTGTGTTTTGTATGCTGTATTCAATAGTTCTGATCTGGATTTCTTGCCTCTTTTTCTTCTGAGAGATTCCTAACCTTTAATACCTATATACAGTAGTAAGTAGGTTCAGCATGCTCCTCTCCGTGTTAGAAGTAGCATTCCATTTGTTTTTGAAGAAATTTCCCAGATTTACAAATTTCTTCATATTCAGCATGGAAAGAGCTTCATATTTTAAAGAACCAAAGGGCAAGAGAAGTGGAATTGACAGCTCTTCCCATCTTAGCAAGTATACCTTTCTTAAGTTTGCCATGAGGTGGGAAGGCCACATGGCTTCTTTTTCAGCCACTCAGAAGGAATAGTGCAAGTGATCCATAGAGGTCTGTGGTTTTTTTATGGATATAACTGCTTTCAATGCATGGTGCAACCCACAAAACTGCTGAAGTCTTGACGAATATCATCCAAAGCTGAGCAAGTGAGCTGGAAGTTTATTTTGAGTTCCTTTCTTTAAAAAAATATTTTGACAATTTTGTCTAGTACTGTAATTAGTAGAAGAAACATTGATATTTGTCTCTTCTGTTCCATGTTAGATTGGTTTCATTCCATGATTTGAGATGTCTTTGAGACCACCATTTAGTATTTTGTGGATTGTAACTTGTGTAGAAACAACAAGAGAACTGTTTCAAACTGTTTTACAACGAAGAAGAAAAAACATACAGTATTGAATCAATAGCAGCAGCGATAAAGCACATCATTGCATTGGTGCATTTTTATCCTTTGATCCCTAGTTTCCCAAACAAGCAGAAGTCTGCAGAACCATCCCCTACCCTGATGAGCTCTTCGCTAGGCAATAACCTGTCAGAACTGGACCGGCTCCTGCAGGAACTCAACGCTGTTCAGCACAACGCTCCCGGCAGCTATCCAGCAGGTCTGAAACCGTGGCTCTGTCCTTACCCGGTTGTAGGAATATGATGCATCGATTGGGAAGGGAGGCCAGAGAGCCTCACCCTGATCCTTTAGCTTCTGGCCATCCTTTGAACCTGTTAAATTGGCCTTCTCCTGTTGGCGCTTCCATGGCTGGTGTCCCCGTGGACACTGAGAGCGGCACAGAAAAGCTGTGAAAGAAGTAGAAATGGGAGAGCTGTTCCCAGAAGTGGAAGGGTAGGAGGTTGAAGCTGGCCTTTATTTTGGCTAGGAGCCAACATGTATAGGCTGCCCAAAGCAATGGAGGGAATCTGGTGGTGTGTATGTGTGTTTGTGTGTGTGTGTGTTTGTTTACCAGCCACCCCATTAGTGCAGTGTACTACTCTGGCCAGTTTATATCAGGATAAAACACTATAGACATACAGTGGTGCCTCACTTGACGAGGATAATTCATTCCATTGAAATCGCTATTAAGCGAAATCCTCGTCAAGCGAAACAAAAAAGCCCATTGAAATGCATAGAAACCGGTTCAGTGCATTCCAATGGGCTAAATACCTCAGCGTCCAGCGAAGATCCTCCTTAGGGGTGGCCATTCTCAGTGCCTGTAAAGCGAGGAATCTGTCCTAAAACACAGTGGGGAGCCATTTTGCACAGCGGGTGGCCATTTTAGAGCCGCCGATCAGCTGTTTAAAAATTATCATCTAGCGAAAAATCAGTTCCCGAAGCAGGGAACCAATCATCGTCATGCGAAATTTCCCTATCTAAACATCGTTTTGCGATCACAAAAACTTCATCGTCAAGCGGTTTTGTCGTGTAACAAGGTAATAGTTAAGCGAGGCACCACTGTACATTAGAAAAGACAAGTAAATAGCAGTCCAGCAGAAAACTCCAAGAGGCATATATTGTAGGATGACAGGCAGCAGGTGAGGAATATCACAGGCAAAGCGGCAAGAAGACACCTCAGGCTAAGAAAAGCCTTTCTGTGAAGCTGTGTTTTCAGGAGTCTTTTCAATGTTGGAAGGGAGTGAATCAGGTGCAGCTTCCCCGGGAGTTGGTTCCAATGGGTTGCATTGCGTGTAGGCCCACTGGCTCAGTGGAGAATGGTTGAGTGTCGTCCTTCGTAAGTTCCATTGATTCAAGACCCTACTCTAGTGGCAGCTTGCTACAAGACCCAAGGGCTTGTTTCCATCTCTCTCGTTTTTGTTGTTGTGAAACAATGCTCATCGGCCTGCCTGTGTTCCTCTGCTCCTCAGATGAAGCTGCTAGGAGCCCCTCTTTGCCCAGTGGGGCTGGATCTCACTACGGCGTCTTGGAGAACACTACCTCTTTGAACACACAGCCAGCAGCCCCAGCCAAGGAGAAGCCCAAGCGGAATGGAGGCCATGCCGTTGAGGACGTGTGCCCCAGTGTGGAAAGCCTTCTGGATGAACTGGAAAGCTCCGTGCCTAGTCCAGTGTGAGTAACAACTTGTCCACTTGTTGAATTGCAAGGGTTCTCCGGACAGAAATGGGAGCAGGGATAACCTGCGTCAGAAGATAAGTGGCTGCCCTCTGCTGCCTAATGGTTGAGAATTGTTTGCCAAGGAAGGAAGGGGAAGCTATGGGAGAAGCCCATAGATTGTTTAAGAGGAGGAACGGCTCTAATGTAAAGAAACAAAAAGGGATAAAGGATGTTGCTGGGAAATAAATGATGTCGTTGTGGGTTTACTGAGAGAGAGAGAAAAAAATTGAGACGGGAAGTGGCGTAGAACAGGATATTTTGAAATCAAAAAGAGGAAGTTCAAGTGGGTGGTGAGAGGAAGAGGGAGCCAAAATTGTTGAGAAACAGGAATTCGTTTCGTAATAGCAAAGTGTAGTGGGGTTGAGTGAAACAGAGAATCAAAGATGAAGTAAGCTGGAAGTCCGAAAAGAGTCATCAGTCATCAGAAAGAGCGAGTGAGCGAGAACCCTGGTTATTAAAGAAAGAAAGAAAGAAAGAAGGCAGTCATCAGAAAGAGCGAGCTAGCGAGAACCCTGGTTATTAAAAAAAGAAAGAAAGAAAGAAGGAGATGTCTTTGAAACAGGTTACAAAAGAGACAAATCCGACCTACAAGCAGAAAGACCATTCAAAGAGAGATCAAGTAATCACTCTTAAGATTATAAGAGCTTGATGGCTGAAAAAGCAGGGGCGAAACTCACCTGTTTGAGACATTGACGGTGGGGAAGGAGGAGAAAAGGGGAAGGGCTTCTTGCCTTCACACCACGCTTAATAGCCTGTTTCCCTTTGAGAAGAAGATACATGTGGCGCTGGAGTATCACCCTCCCTTGTTTAGTAGTTTCTAAAGGGCTCCGTTTTCTAGTCACAAATAAAAGGCTGCTCCATTCTGGTTATTTTGCTTAGGGAGGGAATATGAGCAGCTGGCTGAAACTTTTTTGACCAGGTGTCTCCTTCAAAGTAGAGCACATGTCTGTCTCTTGCAGGAAAGGCGTATTGCCTCCTGGACCTACATAGCCATTCCTTTCTTGCCTGGTGTTGTTGTCAAACAGACACAACACAAGAGTAATGCATACAAGGATGCAACTGTTCAAGAACTGCAACAGCAGAAATTAACCCATTAAAACTAGGTACTACTACATGCATACATAGCTTTGCCAACCCACAGCAGCAGCACCAACAACAAAGTGCCATTAAGTCATTTCTGACTTAATGATAACCTTTTTCAGGGTTCACCAGATAGAGAGTACTCAGAAGTGGTTTCCCACTTCCCTTCTTCTGGGGGTCATCCTGGGACTGTGCAGCTGGCTCAAGGCCACCCAGGCTGGCTCTACTCACAGGAGGTGCCGTAGGGAATTGAAAAGCTATGACAAATATGAGCAACAACGTCCTTAAGCTGCTTTGCCACCATTCAAAGCCTGACACAAACGTGTCTTATTGTACTAGTAAGTAAGAAACATGCCAGGTCTGGGGTCACCTTTTTCCGTGCGCATGTGCTGGAAAATGTGCCAAGTCTTCAATAATCCCAAGGTGTACATTGACATTCTGAATGGCAGGGTGCATGGTTAAGGAATTGTGGACAGAGCGGGGGAAGCCTTTTTATCTGGCTTTTTGTTTTTCCTTTTGGAAGAAACCTTGATCCCATCTTCCCAGCACAGGGTGAATGACTGCGTCTCTTTTTGTTTTCGTTAGTCCAGCCATCACTGTGAATCAAGGCGAGGTGAGCAGCCCCCAGCGGGTTACCTCCAGCCAACAACAGACTCGCATCTCCGCCTCATCGGCCACGAGAGAACTGGACGAACTCATGGCTTCGCTTTCAGACTTTAAGGTGCTTGGTCATTATCCATTTCCGCTTCTGCATCTTTTCCCTCCATGCGTCTTCCCTGTCTCGATTTTGATTTGCTCCCCGCTACCCAAAACAGCCTTGATAGCCTTTCTGTGCTGCAGCTGGGTGCAGAGGGCTAGACCTCAGTGGCCGTCTTGTTGTCCTGATGCTTCTTCAGAGCTCAGAAATCTTACTTTTTAAAATATACTACAGCTCTCGGAATCCCTCAGTTGTAGTCTGGAAGGAGTAACATTTCCACACGTTCTGCTTGATGTCTTGTTTCTGTACCAGGAAGGCTAACCATACTAACTGTGATATAAGAATGATAGTAAGAAATCGAAAAGTTGTATTAAAAATGTGCATCATTAAGTAGCATGTGCTCATCCAACGTTTATCCATATAAACTAGGATTTGCAGTGAGAGACATCGTAGATGGTGGTGATGGAGGAATTATGTGCAGTGGTGTAGTGGAGACAGAGTCTGCAGGGTTAGATCCTTGGGCCTTTCCAGGGAGCAGGGACTCTGTCTTCCCCCACCCCACGTAGATGGTGGTGATGGAGGAATTAAGTGGAGACAGTCCTCAGGGTTAGATCCTTGGGCCTTTCCGGGGAGCAGGGACTCTGTCTTCCCCCACCCCTCGCCTTTGACTTCCATGAACTATGTTGCAATCCTCACAGTACCAGAGATTCCCCCAGAAACAGTGTCTCTTGTCATGTTTCAGGATGGTTCGGTCTTGGATGGATGAGTAAGAGCTATTCACTTTTAAAAAAAGACTTGCTGGAACTCACTTTTTGTTCTTATGGGTCCATCCATCCAGCGGCCTGCATTGTTACATTCTCCTGGGGAGAGAGATGGGCTCTGGGGGCTGTCATGCTAAGCAGCTGCGCTTTTAAATTTTCTGATGGTGTAAAAATCATTGCTTTACACAAATGTAAGCAGACAGGAGTATATGATCTTGGCACAAACAGAGTGAGGCATGAACAGAAGTATGCACAGACCCACGATAGGAATCTGGGTAATACCTGTTTTGTATTCAGTCTTCGTCAGATGCATGACTTTGTAAATATGTTTATCCTCCAGACATCTATTCTTCAACCATGTAAGGATCTTGTCCTGGTCCTTTCCCTTTTTGAAATTTTTCCCTGAGTAACATGTCTGGATGTTAGTGGTACTGATTTCTGATTGTAGACAAGTGGCATGATATTATTAATATAATGTTAGCCATATATTATTAACCTGGGTTAAGTTTCTAATGAAAGTTTTGGTTTGTTTCAGTTCTTATATAACGGTTGATGCTGTCAGCATTTCTGCTGTGTATTACTCTTGATATAATTTTAGATTATATTACTTTTGTCCTGTTTCTAATTACGTGAGTAATTGTTGCTCCACCTCCCTCGTATGGCAGGCCTCCTGATTTTATGTGCTTTCCACCACACGAGCCCAGTTTTCTTTTAGTGCTTCTTTCGATTGGTTGGTCTTCTCAGGAAAAAGCATGTGTTCCTAAATCATTCATGGCCTCTAGTGTTCACTTTTCATTTATACGCAGCTAAATATGCAGGGACATTTCCCCTGTGTAAAAGGTAAGATGGAGCCTGAAAAGAGATTTCTGTAAGCAACCCCATCTTGAGATGTGCAAAACCAAAAAAAAAACTTATAGAAAATATACCAGTTACAGGGACCTTTATAATCTGTCCTAATTAGGGGGTGATGAGGGTAAAGGGCAGCCTTTTATAGGCTTTTAATTTGCCAACATATCACAGAAGTACTGTATATGAATGGGAGACCAGGATTATTCACAGTCTGGGCAGCTGTTTTCCCATTTAATGACCTGGTCAGTGGTCCTATCAATCCAGAGGTAAAGGTTCTCCTTGACATTGAGTCCAGCAGAGCTCATTCCCATCTCCAAGACGTAGAGCCAGCGTTTGTCCGTAGACAGTTTCCGTGGTCACGTGGCCAGTGTGACTAGATATGGAACACCATTACCTTCCCACTGAGGTGGTACCTATTTATCTACTCACATTTACATGCTTTCGAACTGCTAGGTTGGCGGGAGCTGGGACAAGCGACGGGAGCTCACTCTGTTGCGTGGATTCAATCTTACGACTGCTGGTCTTCTGACCCTGCAGCACAGAGGCTTCTGCGGTTTAACCCGCAGCACCACCCACGTCCCTATCAGTCCAAAGGGCCTATTAAAAAAGGGCTCTCAGTATTTGGAGAAAAATTTGAAAGCCGTAAACAGCTTATGGTGCTCCCATCTTCTGTTTAGCTATTTTCTGAACTGAATTTCTCGTGTTCCTCATTGCTGTGGGGTAGTCAAGTTACGGTTAGTGTTGCATTATCCATAAAAGTAATTTGCCACATTGGGCTATATAAATACAGTACATATGCTGTCCTTCCCAGGCAGCACCGAACAAATGGGGAGAATGCTGCGGTGCCCTCTAGTGGCCAATTGTGAGCTTGGATCTCGAAAATACTTAAAAATACCAACTGCAAACCAGAGCAGTACTTTCCTTCCCACTTAGTATGGAATGGGGAAAAACTTGAAAAAGTCTTGTGAACATTCTTCGAAGAATGCTTTAAAATGACCTCTGAAAGCAACTTTTGAAACTAAATTAAAAAAACACACCACAAATTATAAAAAATAACCCTAATTTCATAACATAATTTCATTATTTTTGAAATGTGACTTAGGCTGCAACAGCATAGACAAATATTGTTGAAAATGCTGCGGGCATAAAACAGATGAATATACTTTTCATAAAGACCAATTCAAATCATTCGACTCCCTAGGTGCAAGTTTTTTCCCCTCTGTCCCGGGGGCTTCTACTTTTTTTTTTAACGATTCAAACAGAGTTTTTTCTCACGCTATTGTTTTTTTTCATTCTCCCAAAGAACGGGAGAGACATAACTGTGGATGGTCTTCTGGTGACATACTAAATGGGCAGGTCCCAGTCTTTCCTACTAGTAACTCTGAGGTATTTAATATTTTTTTAAAAAAAGCATACCACTGAATGTAGTGCTAGAACACTTTATCAATACATTGATACACTAGTTTAGCACAATAGAAAGAACTCTGACGAACTATAGCAGACTATTATTTTTCTGCAGTATGTGTTTGAACTTTGGAACACGGTCTATTTTCTCTATCATCATGCGAGGCTTTAAACATCTCACCAGCTTTACTATGAACCATAAAGAGAGAGCTGGGGATTAGTAGAGCTTATTATCCTGCTGTCAACTTTTTATCTGGGGATGCTCCAGAAAGATTCCTATGAACAAAGAGCATGCATGACCTTCTAACAAAACCAAACCCCCGATTTGACATTTTTGCTTGGGAACCTCCTGCCACCCTGCAGTGGCTTACCTCTTGGAGGGCTGCCCAAGGCATGTTGCGGTGGTGGGGACCAGCGTAGCAATCATCCTGTGTGTTTGGAAGAAAAGGGAAGTAATTGCTGTTTTTCATGGTACATATGCCTGTGTGAATGGCAGTGACAATGGTCACCCCCTCTTCTTTTCCATTTTTAAAAAACACAGCTGTCCCTCTAGGGAGAGCTGATAAACACTGTTCACCAACATCTCCTCTAATTCTCTGGAGCTCTGTGCAGTGTCTCTGCCCCATATGTGCTGAGTTTCAGCTGCAAATGGAAGCAAATGGGCAGATATACTTGCATCAGTAAGTGCTCATGTGGCTTGCGGGAAACATTGCTGTTCACACAGGCAAATGCGCAATGAAAAGCAGGCAATGATTTCCCTCCCCTTTTGTTAGAAGGCCATGCTCTAAGTTTGCAGGAATCTTTCTGGAACGTCCACAGATGAAAGTGGATAGCAGGATAGCACAGCACACACACAGTCCACATGAACGTCTTTCTCTCCTAGCTGGACCCATTAGTTAATCTGAAATCATTGAAATACAGTAGTGCCCCTGTATCTGCGTGATAACTGTCTGCTGATTCACTTGTGGTAAAAGGAAAAAAAATCTAGAAAAAAAAAATCTTTGCATGCATTACCAGAACTGTCCTCTAGAAGGCATCAAAGATAATGTTATGTATTCTTCCCAAACAAGTATTCATAGCACAGTCTCTGGCTCCTTCTAGTGGCTCGTACTGGTAATAATAGAGAACATAGTTTTTTATGGATTTATTTCTTTTAATATTTTTAATATTCTCAGACTGTGGATAAGTGAAACCGTGGCTACTGATGCCATACTGTAATCCACGCTTTTCAGGATCCGTGAGGGGGCTTGGAACCAATCCTTCGCGGATATAGGGGTCCTACTTCCATAATAGAAACCAGTCTAGCAATCAAAAACTTTGCACAGAATTTTAGTTTCAAATGTAAGTGAAATTTTGGTTTCTTCTCTGATTCCCTCTGTGGATTTTGTTTATTTCAATCTAATGAGATAGAGCATATAAAAAGTATTGCCACTTGAACAAGTCTAGGTGGATTTCTGTCCTTTTAAAAAATTCAGCAACAGGTTCTATTATTGCCGTTAAATCATTTCACTATAATATACTGCATTAAACTGAAGCTGTGTGATGTTCAATACCGATACTAAGTGGCAAGGTAAGATTTCTTTAGCCTACCATTATACAGTGGTGCCTCGCACAACGATTGCTTCATACAATGATGAATTCACACAGCGATGGGTTTTTTTGAGGAATTTCCCCCATCGTTTAACGATGTTCTCTATGGGGGAATTTCACTTAACGATGTCCCTTTTTGCTCATTTAAAAGTGTCTTTAAATGTTTGAAACCTGTTTTAAATGTGTGGATTCCATAGTGCACCTTGTGAAACATGTACAAACTTAATTTGGTTTTGTTCTGAGTCTTCATTAATTTTTGGTGATTTTTTTATTTTCCCCATTTAAATCAATTGAATGAACAGTTCAATGCATTTAAATAGGAAAAACAAAAAATCACAAAAAATTAAGGACGACTCAGAACAATACCAAATTAAGTTTGCATAGGGTTCTGGAGGTGGGCCAACGATTGCAAGCATTTAAAACCTGTTCCAAACATTGTAAGGCACTTTTAAATGAGCGAAAATGGACATTGGAAAGAGCTTCAAAAGCAGGAAAACGGAGATCAAAGAGCCCTTTCCAATGTCCGTTTTCGCTCATTTAAAAGTGCCTTACAATGTTTGGAACAGGTTTTAAATGCTTGCAATTGTTAGCCCACCTCCTGAACCCTATGCAAACTTAATTTGATGTTGTTCTGAGTCGTCCTTAATTTTTAGTGATTTTTTGAATTTTCTCTCATTGGAATGCATTGGACGGAAAGTTCAATACATTCCAATGAGAGAAAATTCAAAAAATCACTAAAAATTAAGGACGACTCAGAACAATACCAAATTAAGTTTGCATAGGGTTCTGGAGGTGGGCCAACGATTGCAAGCATTTAAAACCTGTTCCAAACATTGTAAGGCACTTTTAAATGAGCGAAAATGGACATTGGAAAGAGCTTCAAAAGCAGGAAAACGGAGATCAAAGAGCCCTTTCCAATGTCCGTTTTCGCTCATTTAAAAGTGCCTTACAATGTTTGGAACAGGTTTTAAATGCTTGCAATTGTTAGCCCACCTCCTGAACCCTATGCAAACTTAATTTGATGTTGTTCTGAGTCGTCCTTAATTTTTAGTGATTTTTTGAATTTTCTCTCATTGGAATGCATTGGACGGAAAGTTCAATACATTCCAATGAGAGAAAATTCAAAAAATCACTAAAAATTAAGGACGACTCAGAACAATACCAAATTAAGTTTGCATAGGGTTCTGGAGGTGGGCCAACGATTGCAAGCATTTAAAACCTGTTCCAAACACTGTAAGGCACTTTTACAGGAGCGAAAAAGGACTTCGCAAAGCCATTGAAATGCATTGAGTCGGCTTCAATACATTCCAATGGAGGAAACATTGTTTCACTCAACAATGTTTCCTATGGGTTTTTTCACTTAAAGACGGCAATCTGTTCCAATTGGAACGGATTAACCGGTTTTCAATTCATTCCTATGGGAAATGGTGTTTCACAGAACGATGTTTCACACAACGTTGATTTTTTTGGAACCAATTAACATCGTTGTGTTAGGCACCACTGTATAGTGAATTGGTGTATTTAAACATTATTATTTAAACAATAATAACTAATATTTACATATTTTGGGTAGTTTTTAAATTTAATTTTAAAATAATAAATAAGAATAATTAAATGCTAGCAATCTAATATGCTGCCCATTGCATAAATAAGGACTGACGGTACGCCTGAGAGGAAGGTTAGAGAACACTGAAGTGCTTCTGGCTGGAGGACGCTTGCCCTGTGAAGCTTGTTTCGGCTACTGCAGCATGTCTGAAGGGTGGGGGGGAGCTCTGTTTGGCTGAGTGGCAGCAAAGCTTGGGCTGGTCGTGCGGTTTGAATAGGGTCTTGGGTTGGCTTTTTAGCAGTAGGCGGAGTGTAAGGCCATAGGGTGGTCCAGAGTCAAGAGGAGAACCCACAGCAGACTTTGAAAGCATGCAAAACCTTCCTAGAACACCTGCTCGTGCAAAATCTTCCAAGGCTGCCAGTCAAAGTGTCTCTCACTGCAAAAGTTTCGTCTCCAGTCGTTAGCAGAAGAGGCATTTCTGGGCCAAGTATAGAATCTCTGCAGGTTGGATCAGGCCTGCAGATTATCCTTGCTATTCTTTCTCCTCTTTAGTATGGTGTAAGTTGGCAAGGAGTGAATTCCTTAGAGATTGTCAAAATAATTGATGAGGGCGTGGTAAGCGCTGGTAGTGTTGAAAGAGGTGCATTTTAAAAGATTGTGCGAAGCGTACACATTACGGTGGGAAGAATAAGGAAGTTTTAGAGTTTATAAGAAGAACATTTGCTTCATGAAAGATAATGACTTCCTTGGAAAGTGTGTGTAAAAGCCCTGTTGAAATGGTGCACGTTAGAAAGGTAAATCAAAGTGGTGTGTTTGTTTATATTCATGCACATTTTGTTACTTTGGATTTCATTTCCACATTGAACTAAGCTTTCAGGATGGCTTCCTGTCGTATCCCATCCAGCGTTCTGTTCTAAAGCACACACGGGTAGTTCTCACCTCGTTTGCCTTCATTTTGAAAAGTACAGTGTATGTTGCTCTTGTCTTGCAGCAGCGAGAAGGGAAAAAAAACATGTGGGTTTCGATCATGACTAATGAGAATGAATGTATAGCATTTTAAATGAAGAAAAAAAATCAGTCTACCAAATACAGGAGTATGTGAAGGAAGCAGGGGTACAGTATATGGAGGGTGCCACTGTCTTTGGAACTGACATTTTGTCCTAGTGCTTTTGTTTCATTTCCCTTGTTGTGTTCAAAATTGCAGAAAAGTGATCAGTGATGTGTAGAGATGGGCACTAGCAGTTCGTGCCAGTTCATCCTTCCCAGCCGTGCCTTCCCTGTCAGCTGCCCACTCAGGGGCAGTGCCCGGAGGAGGCGGGGCAGAGAAATGTTGAACACTTGTTCGTCCAACGGATAAACCAGCACAGACCACCAAATTGGCAGTTCGTGCCCATCTCTAGTGATGTGTGTTGCTGCAGGGGTGGAAATAATTAATGGTAGGCATGACATGTTCTATCTTTGCAGAACATCCATTGAAGTCCTCTGCATATTGTATTTGAATTTGGCCATAGGGATATTTTTAAGGGTTGAACAGGTGTTTTTCCTGGATTAAGTTTCCACTCATCCATCTTCTTTTTCCTTCCAGTGGTACTTGCAAATGCCACAGGGTGTCCATTACTACAAAGGCTGGGCTTAAAAAAAAAGAGTGACCTGCCTCTTGCGCCACCTCTATACCTTTGTCTGCAGTCTCGTTTTAGTCACTGAGTTAAGCTCCCAGTACTCACTTGGCTGGCAAATTGGGGGGGGGGACGGGACACAATGCCACTGCCATCATTTGCTGGGAGCTTTGTGTAAAGAGAAGGCAGAAATAAACATTACCGATCGGAGTGGCAAGAGGAGCGTAAAGGATGAGGAGAAAGATCAGGTTAGCACCTCATCATGGGTATGGTAAATTTATTTTCTGGTTTAGTTCTTCTTGGACAATTCCTCAGGGAAGAGGGGATGTGGATGAGCATGGACTTAATTCAGAGCATTAAGCCCCATTCGTTGGCTGCTGAAAACCCTACTCAGCAGCCTCTCTGGCTTCTGAGAATTCTCTTCCGGCCTGACTTGCATTTTTTTCCAAGCCTATGTTGGCAATTTGAAGAGCTCAGTGCTTTCATTCGGTGTTGCTGGCGAAAGCTGTAAAAAACAAAATGTGTATCTCCAGCCACTTTTTCCTGCACATATAGAGATCCTGGCAAAACATGGAGCCATCACTGCAGAAGGCTGTGTCTTATCAGAACCAAGAGTTCTGTCAAATCATTTGCCACCTGAGTGAAAGCCATCTGTGGTTTCTTCCCGGATTCCTTGTATCCGCAAGGCTGGGCGTGTGCCTTTTCCAATAGCTTATGAAAGAGACCGTTGTCCGGTTGAAAGGATGGAGGTTCTGCTCTAGATTGCCTCTTTCTCTCTGGGATAGTTTTAGAAAGATGAGCGGGGAGTATAGCAGCTCGGAGCCCAAATCTTCCGTCTCCTTTAGAGATGGGAATGAACTAAACCACAAACCAGAAAAAAACTGACCAACGGGGCCGGTTCGCACTTCGGTTTGTGAGTCCGGTTCATGGATCCCGTTTTGCCAAAGCAAAACAAGAGCGCTGAAACTTCTTTTCTAATTGGCGCTTCCTTTTGCTTTGCCAAAATGGGATGACCGGCCCTGCCCCCTTCCCTCTCCCTCTGCTGCCTCTACCTATTTGGTCCTGCCTCTTCTGCCACCGCTGCAGGCTGCCCGTCCCCTCTCCAGACGGCCACCCAGCGGATAGGTGGGCACACGCACAGCGTCCGTGTCAGGAGCCTGGCACGTGTCTCTGAAGAGGGCGTTGAAAGCTTGTGGCAGCAGCCGAGGATGCAGAGGTGGAAAGGCTAGGCGGCAGGACCAGATTAGGGCACACCCTCAGCATGAACCCCAAAAAACTGAACCGCAAACGAATTCGTGGTGGTTTGTGGGCAGCTGTGAACCCCGAACCATCACAAATCACTAACTTTCTGGTTCATGCCATCTCTAGCCCCCTTTGCTGTGTCTGCTGCCCTCAAACCCTGTTGAGCTACCCAGACAGGTTGTCTATTGGGGAGAGGTTCGAGCAGATGCAGGGCTTCTGTGCCACAGTTATATCAAATGACTGGTAGATTCTCGTTGCGTTGACTTGATTTTATAACCACAGAGAAAAGAAAAGGTACTTACTGATAGGCCTACTCTTAGTGAGTGCTTACTACCTTTTGCTGCCTCATTCTTCCTTTCTAACTTACCTGATTAGCTTTATTTTAGCTCTTGCCTGCCCTTCCTCCCCTGTTCACTTTCCTCCTCTTCCTCCCGTGCTGCTTCCGTCTTTCCTCCCACCCCGACGTGGCTCTCCCACCTTTCCTTTTCTTTTCTGCAGACCAGTTCTACCATATCATTGGTCTCTGAATCTTCCTTGGAGCTGCATCCTGGATCAGATCCCACCCATGTTGTGCCTCCCCCATCTGCCCCGACTACCTCAAAACAGCAGAGCCTAGACGGCTATGGGGATCCCCTGAACCCCCCGACGCCTCTCCCATTGGAAGTACTTCACATTGAAGAGGAAGGCGGCACTCCAGCCACGTCTTTCACGAAAACTGCGAAGGTTCCTCCTCGACCCTGGACTGAACCGCCATTTGGAGAGGCCCCTCTCCCTTTTTCAGGCTCAGAGGGACCAAGCCGAGAGCCAATTTGCAATGGGGCATGTCTCTCATTTTCCAACCAAGAGTCGTTGCCCCATAGTTCTGATGGAGGAGCCCGGAACCAAAGATTTGCAGAACCAAAACAACCTTGGAAGGATGAGTGGATATCCGAAAACAGGCTTGCAGGTGTTTCTGGGTCGGGCATAAATAACAGGATGAAAACGCCACCATCAAGAGAACTGGAAAAGGGCCCTGTATTAGATCTACCGGGTGCTGCTTTCAAGGAGAATAACAATAAAGTAGCTTCAAACAAGTCGTTTAATTCAGATGGATTTCAGTTAACACTGAGAACGCTTCCTGCCAAAGACCATGTTGTTTCGGCAACACGCAAACCCGATCTTTCGAGTCTGGAGCAGTGGGATGGCTTCCCAAGTGCCAAAGACCAGCTGGGCCGTACCCTGCAGCCAAGTGCCCGGATCCAAGATGCAGGCAGGGCAAGCAGCTGCCCCGATGTTGCTGAGAAGAGGCACGATCCGGAAGGGGCCCTGAGGAAAAACAGTCTGCAGGACACTCTGGCAGGCCAGTGGAAAGAGCCACTCTCTGAAAGAGGAGCTGCTTCGGGGCCTACAGGAAATGCCTGGAAAGAGGAACTGGATCCGTTCCCGGCTGGCAGGATTCCTGTGGAAAGGATCTCCACTTCACGCCAGGCAGGCCTCGGAGTGAACATAGAGGGGGGAATGGCTAAGTTTCAAGTCAGGATTTCTCTGAGGGTGCCTCTGGTTTGCCTGTGCATGAAAAAAACGCTTTTGGATCTCCTGAATTCAGCCTGTCTGCATGCTTTTGTGATGTGTAAATGTGGCACCAGCTGCATGGGGCTGTGATTTGAGACCCCGCTGCTTTCACTCAGCTTTGTGGAAACTTTGAAGCCCACGGATCTGTGCTTTGGATTGTGAAATTTTAATACTGCTTGCATTTCTCATAGTTCGTAAAGGGAAACGAAACTGGGACCGTATGCCAGTGTGCGATTGGGATGCAAGGAACCTCTCTTAATTGTCACCCCCAACCTCTTGGATTGCTCTTCTGACCCAAGAGATGGTCCCTGAGTACTTCAGTTCTGGATAAACATTCTGTGCAACTAAGTTGGCACTGCCTCCAGAAGCTGATTCCAAAAGGGATACTATCTGTAAGGACTTTTCTTGTCTCGATATGACGTGTGTTGCACCCTTGCAATCTGAGCACTTACACATTCAAGCTAGGATGGAGGGATAAGAGAGTGTTTTTCTCTCTCTCTCTCTGTCTCTCTCTCTCACTACATGGTACATGAAGATATTGCTATGGTTGTGGTTGATTCAAGGGTTTCTAAAAGCTAACAACGTAGCGCTGTTGCGCTTGGCCAACAAATGGGCACCCAGTGCTACATGACCGGCTTTGAAGGCTTTTGTAAAGGTTGATTTGATGCGCTGTGTGGCTTTGTTTGTGTCCGTTTCCCCCACTCTTGAGGAGGGGGGACGCCTTCTGTTTCCCCTGCTCTTTGTTGCTGACGCTTGTTGAGCTTGAAGTTTGTGCATATCCTGATGATCCTCAGCTGTGGTTGCCGTTTATTGAAACTCTTTGCTTTTCTTCCCCGTGAAGATAAAATCTGTAATCAAGCAAACCCAAGAGACCTCCAATGTCCACCCCATGTGCCGTGATCTCTCACCGAGACGCAAGCTGGGCCCGGCCATATTCCACAAGACGGTCTCCCAAGACCGCTTGATAGAGGAGCTTCAAGACAGGTTGGGCATCAGTAAGCCAGAACAGGAGGAATGGAGGAGCCAAGACAACTGGCTGACTGAGGGGGTCATCATCATCTCCAGGCCACAAAAGAAAGAGCAAGATGGTGGGCAGCAGGTAGAAAAGGTAGCGCTTAACACGTTGTGTTTGATGTTCCGTGCCGTGCAGAAGATAATGAAAGGGTGTCTTAGAGATGCTCTAAGCCGTTTTTATGATATCAACTATCTGTTTAGCACTTCTATAGAGCACTTGCCCGGTGAAGTAATGTACACAACCGAAAGCAGAGGAAGTATCTCTCGCCACCACCTGATTCCTTCTTCCCAAAGGAAGAAACCAGTTGTGCAAGCTGTGTGGATCATGCTGCTCCAGAATGTGGGTCCCATGGGCTGTGTTGGTTATTTGGGTATCGACATGGGCTAAAGACCCAATATCTGGGGTCCGAAAGGAGGAGGCAAATTCTGTGCCACCCCATGAAATTTGAGGTAACAGAGATAGAAAGGTCACATATGGGGAGCTGAGAGAAGTAAGGATGTCATCGTGGACAGTTCTGGCTACTAGTATTTCACTGGATCCCAGAACAAGAGCATTGAACTTCCAAGATTGCTTGCGTGCTGCATAGTTAATCCTAAGGCCTTAGAGTTCATCAAGAGCTGCTCAATTTTAGGCTGCTGCGTATAGTTTTGTTCAATCTAAAATACATACAGTACTTAGTAAATGGTGATTCAGTTGTTAAATGTGTTAACCACCTGGTGGCTCACCTTATGATATTCTCCTTTTTGGGCTGAAACTTCCATTTTCCCATGCGAGCAAGTCACTCTGTTCAATGTATTCGCGAAGGCTTTCACGGCCAGGATCTAATGGTTGTTGTGGGTTTTTCGGGCTTCTTGGCCGTGTTCTGAAGGTGGTTTTTCCTAATGTTTTGCCAGTCTCTGTGGCCGGCATCTTCAGAGGACAGCAAACTGTGCTCTGGTGTAGTTTGGCTAGGGCATGGAATATTTATGGCTGTGAGATGGGACGATTAGTGTGTATTGTTGTGGGTGTATTGTTTTCTGTGGATGTATTGTTTTCTGTGGGTGTATTGTTTTCTGAAGATGCCGGCCACAGAGACTGGCGAAACGTTAGGAAAAACCACCTTCAGAACACGGCCAAGAAGCCCGAAAAACCCACAACAACCACTCTATTCAACTCTAATGCAGTACTTCCAAATAAGAAGTGTGTAGGCTAATCATTAAAACATTCTGGACGTGTTTTTTAAATTCCTTTTTGTTTGCTACACTTGCATGTAGAAAAAGCTGTCTGACTTTCCCAGCTGTTGCTAGGCAAAGCCCAATTTGTTCCATCTCTTTTTCTGCAGTGTAGTTTTCTCCAGATGATTACGATGGCTGTGATGATAATGGTGGTGACTGTTACTGTAATTATTCTGTGTGAATGTATGCGTGCAAGGTGGTCCAAAGTCCAGAGAGACAACATTTGAGCCTCTTCTCTCATGATCCTACATGAATAGGCTCTGTAGGCAAGGAGAAGGAAGGATGGGCTTCCGTTTTGGTCTTACCTTTTCTTATCTTGGTACATTAAAAAAAAGGTCTACCTGTCTCTGGACCCTCATATTTCTTCCTCCTTTCTTCCATAGGTTATAATTCCTGCCGAGTCACCCCTTCCTCTGAGGAAAACCGTCTCGGTCCCGCCTTCTCCCCCACCACAGTGTCCTAAAGATGCTTCAAAGGCTGTCTCTATCAATACATCTCCTCTTCCTTTCCCTCTTCCTCTTCCTCACCCTCCTCCTCCTCCTCCGCCCCCTCCTCCCCTGCCACCGCCGCCACCTCCACCCTCGCCACACGTCCCTCACCTGCGCTATGTGCCCTCCGCCCCGCCTCTTCAGCCTCTCCTGCAGTGGGAGATGCTCTTGGAGGAATCTTCTTTACCCCCAGGACAGATTCTGCCAAATCCCATTGGAGTGGCCTCCCTCCCACAGGGAGAGGTTCGAGCCAAGCCCGTTGCTTCCGCTCCCAAGATGGTGGTGTCGGTGGGCTGCCAGACTGACGAGGATTCGTTCTTCCCGCCAGAGCAGGCATGGCCTCCTTTTATGGTGTCCTGATGTGCCAGAACGGGACCCAGCTGGATCCTAGCCTATGCAGCCACTGTGCATTAGCTCGAATATTGAAGAACAGCAAAGACCGAACTTGGATAGCACAGAAGGGGGGAAATTGTCTTTCTTGTTTAAATACCAGCGCTAAGCATAGTTTGGTGCAATAATCCGTTGACACATACAGTATGCAGAATTGTGAGCTGCCACGATTGGAAATAATGTGTGGCATCCCTTGAGAAGAGATTTGCGATGAAGTGAAATCTGCAATGGTTGTGCCAGATTAATTCCATCACAGAGAGGAAGTGTAATAATAGAGCATTCTCCTCTCGACTTGAAAGGCTGTTGTTGTAGCCTCACAAAGCCTCACCAGTGGAATCTGGCTCGGTTGGAGCTTGGTGTGACCTTGTTCATGGAACTGCAGGAGCCGTGGCTTGTGAACGGGTCTCCTCCTGCTCAGTTCAAAACATGGCCTCCACAGCTATGCCCCTTTCGTGTCAGTCCCCCTTTTGTTGGAAGGAAGGAGCTGAGTTCTCCCTGCTTGTTCTCATGCTCCTTTTGCATGGTTTGCAAATTCCTTCCGCGCTGTCCTGTTAAAAAAACCCGGAGGCTGCAGAAGCACAACAGAGTGTTCCACTTGCCTCCTTCAAAGAGAAGATTCCCCTGTAGATCATCAGTCCCATCCCATGGTTGTTCTGTTTGTTAGCAGGCTGGAATAGCCATACCTTTCCTCACCTCTCTTTGTAGTACTGTAATAGATATCCAGTATTTCCAAGTTACAGGTTGAGGCTGAGAGATAAGGAGGGCTTAGGCTTAAAGCCCCACCATGAGTTTGCAGCTGAGCTAGGACTGAAACTTGAGTTTAATCCACGTCCAGAACTCCTTTTCACCAAGTCTCTCAAATCTGTTTAGCTTTTATGTCATGGGTACTCTCTGACAATTTGCTTTTCAGGGCTGATGACCTTCCCAACCACCAGTCACAAAACGAAAGCGAGCAAATTTGTATTGTACTGTCTATATCATACAGTTTGCTTCGGTTTCTTTTTAAGCCAAAGGAAACTCAGGTTTATGGTTAGTAAAGAAGCTGGAGTCATAAACTCATAAATAAGCACCCTGCTTATTACAAACAAATGGTAGTTACTAGGCAGAATTCTACCCCCTATTTTAAAAAAAGTGGGGACTCTGATCATTTTAATAGTGGGGGGCCCTCCTGATGGCCACAGTAGAAGATGAAAAATCAAGGAAATAAACCCTGGACTCACTGGGTCTTACAACGATGGTTTTAACCAGAGTTTTGGCCACTGCTCATAATGGCTGTTGGATTCTGGCAATTGTAGTCCAAAGCAAGTAAACCTTCCAAGATCTGTTTTAGTTTTAGATGCAAAATACCCATGGGGGACAGGAAGTAGAAGAGACCCGTAGATGTCCTGGATTTATAATGTCACAAAGCTCTTATGGTGCCTTTTCTCCAGTTCTCCTTACAATCTTCTTCCAGCCCTTCTGCATTTACAGATTTACATTCAGGGCACAAAGCCGAGATGACACACTAGATGATTCTCCTCCAAGGACGTAACTGTGTCTGGAAATACAGATGTGATATTTATCATGTCCTCACATCAGTGATGGAGAGCGACAGCCTTTCTGTGCACAACAATATTGTGCAGGAGGAAGGAAAAATATAGGTTTGAAACCTGTTTGTGTCTCATTTTTGTTGCATTGCTTGGACCCAGACAAGTTGCAGGGATAAAGTAGGATTGGTGTCCTGACTCATGGTGGGGCAACTGCATGTCACACCATGCCAGAGATGGGTGTGTAAATTGCCAGGTGATTCGAAACCATGGAAGGAAACATGATGGGCGGATGTCTATGTAATAAACTCGTCCTTTACTAACATTCTGTCTGAAAAACTGTGTTCTGAGGCACCTTGTGGGTTTACAGGTTTATCAGAGGGCTTTTAAAACCCATCAGATTCGCGTAAGAGATACAGGTACTGGTAAAAAGCAGGTAGATACATATATTCATGATATATGGGCATCAGCAAAACGAAACAGGTGTTCCCATAAGTCATGCAATCCTCTGTCTTCCAGCAACAGAAAAAGTCCACCTGCACGGCACGGTATTTATTGCAATTGCTGTTTCCATTCTAATCTGAGAATTGCATGGGGCCAGTTAATTTCCTTCTTTCAGCCTCCATGTGGCCACAGACTCTTTTCTGTCTTGCTGTCATATCTCCTAGTGTGATAATTCTGTTGTCTTTACTTGGAAGAACTGAGTTCAATTTGTTTTTGTGCACTGACCAACAAGGGCTGTGTTTGGATGGTCTTATCTTTGCTGAATAATCCAGTACATGAGCAAGTGAACATAAAACCACTTTCTGCCTCCTCGATATAAACAGAGAGCAAGCCAAGAAACCAGGATTAGCTGTAGCTTCTGGTTGTGTTCCAGCTGGGAACTATGAGTAATGGTTTCCAAACTAACTAGGATCTGGAGTCTAACTTTAAACCAGGATTTCATATCAGGGGATGTTTATAAGCAGCTAACCATAGTTTCCCAATTATTAAGCATACCTTTCCAGTCTATGCTTAAACCTTTTTTTTTACTCCTTTGGACAAAGAGAAGAGAAAACTGACTGCATGAAGTTTGTTCATCCATTGTCTTGTTGTACAGTAGGACACCGTTATCTGCAGGATCCGTATCCTCTGATTCACTTATCCACAGTCTGAAAATATTAAAAACATTGAAAGGAAAATCCTACAAAATATATTTCTAAAGTGAAAGTTACCAGGACTTACCACTAAAGGGAGACAATGACCATGCTATGTATAGTACAGTGGTGCCTCGCTAGACGATGATAATCCGTTCCACTGAAATCGCTGTTTAGCGAAATCATCGTCTAGCGAAAAGCATTTCCCCATTGGAATGCAGTGAAACCTGTTTAATGCGTTCCAATGGGGAAGAATTGTCGTTGTCTAGCGAAGATCGGCCATAGGAAAGCCGCTTTGCGAACCGCCGATCAGCTGTTTAAATAGCTGTCTTGCGAAGCTTAGGTCCCGAAAACACCTGTTTGCGAGCGTGGAGGGAGCTGTCAAAATTGTTGTCTAGCGAAAATCGGTTTGTGAAGCAGGGACCAAACATTGTCCAGCGAAATTCCCCCATAGGAATCACTGTTTTGTGAATCGCTATAACAGTCGCAAAAAGTCAATGTCTAGCAAAAAAACTGTCATGCGGGGTAACTGTCTAGCGAGGCACCACTGTATTTGCTGTTAAAATAGCAGTCACTATAATACATGTTTTTCAGCATCTGCAGGGGGGCTGGACTGATCTCTGTGGATTCAGGGGATCCTGCTGTACTGAGAGTGGATTGTCTGAATGTCACCTGTATCGTGTTGGTGTACGGCTTGTCCCCATGGGGTTAGAGGGGATGGCCCTGACTTAAAACAACCACCCCATGTCAATGTGTAGTAGGCAAGGGGCAGCTTTGCCATGGAGTAAGGTGGAGCTGTTCCTCTCCTCTACAATTTGGAGTGTGTTTAAAAGAGATGGATTTGATCCACGGAGATGCAATCCATTCTGACGTTTTCCTGAGCCAGTATCTTTAAAACGGGGAAACTCCCTTTGTTTTCAGTGAGGCCGGTGCAGGCGGGAGGACTTCCTTACGAAACTTTTATTAGTGACTGGAGGGACAGGGGAGCATTTGAATTTTTCATCAGAAGCATGAATAGCTCTTTAGCTATTGGAGTGTTTCACCCTTTTTCGGAAAACCATCTCTGAAGTTACAATGAAACCGGATCTTTACATTCTTTTCCCATGAAATCTAGCTATTTTCCATGTTCCCTTTTGGGTTGGCTTGATCGCCTTTGAGAGGTTTGAAGTAGAAAAGCTTTCCTGGAGTTTTTTAAATCAGCCTCTTCCACATTCCCTCATTCAGCCCAATGGTGGCATCTGCTGCTTTCTTCTCTATCCGTTCTCCACATTCTGCCCAGGGCTGTATGTAAACCAGTTGATTTCCAGTCTTGAGACTCCAGATGTTCTTGGTCTGCCGTTTGCAGAATCTCAGCGCTGAACCCCAAGCCGGGGGGCGGGGGGCATTGATATAAACAATGTTTGTGCTTGGAACCCAAGAAATCTGGCGGGTGTGACACTGAGTGCAGAATTCAACCTCCTCTAATTCTCAGTGTTTTTAAAGGAGATGTTTTTATATAGCCTGAAAATGTGCAAGGACCGTCTGGCGAAATCTCAGAAGCCAGAAGAATGGATAACTTTTTGTAGACCACAATAAAGCTTTACATCCTTGCACCGTTCCCTCGTCCCTCATGACTGTGGAACACAAATAAGTTATTCCAAATAAGGTCAAAAGCGAAATAAATGGCACAGAACTAGGGAAACGGTGACCGTATATCAAGTCACACATGTCTTCGTGGGGAATCTGCACAAATTCTTGTCTCCCGTTTCAAAACAGAGTGTCTGTAGTCCTGTACAGGTTGTATCTAATTTATGCTTTAGCCTCTTTCTGTGACCATGGTGCTCCATCACCCAAAATGGATTAGTGCCTCTTTGAACTTGGTATTGTACTGTTGGCTTCCAGAGGAATAACCTCTGTCTGTGAGATACTCCATTTCCACAGACTTTCGGAAGAGTAAAGTAACTGTTTGAGATATGTTGATATAGTCAACCTTTTACCTTAGAAGAAGGGCGTCTTGTAATTAATGAGGCATAGCTTAAAAGATGGACTTCTTTCTAGGTTTGTGCCACTGCCACAGAGGCCTTTCCCCTCCTTGATTAGGTGTTAATTGGAACAGAAAACACTTAATAAAAAAGTATAAGCAGTACAATACAGTATCTGTGGGGTTCAGTTCCAAGTGCCCCCCCCCACAGATGCTGCAAAATATGGAACTGTCGAATGCCATACATTGCATGGTCTCTGGCTGCCTCTAGTGGCCAGTTTTGGTAAATACACCCTGGAAATACATATAAATATGTTACATATTTCGGGGGGGATTAGTGTTTTCAGGCAGTGGATAACTGAATCAGCAGATACTGATCCCACAGACACAGGGTGTCCTCCTGTAGCTCATAATGTTACAGCAAATTATCTCTGATTCGTGGATGTGTGAAGACCTTTTGTAATTTTTTTTCATTTTGGCATGGTCATTTTCTAAAGTGGTTCATTTCTGCAGTGCTCTGCATTTATCTGCGTTGCTTGGGTAATCCTATCTTGTTGCAAGAGGCTGTGTCGCCGTGCTTTTCCCATTATTTGCCAGAGACACGGCTTTGCTTGCAGGTGCTTGAAAACTCTTCATCTCTTTGAGTTGCAAGGTTTGTTCTAAACAAGTTGTTGGAAAAAGCATTTGTTCTAGCCTTTGAACGTGATCCTTGGTCACCTTCTCTATTTGCATTGTCCTGTTTGTTCTCCTCTAATCACGGAAGCCACAAATGACCGGTTGCGCTTCCATGCGCTAGAAAGTGGTTCTTGCCTTAGGATCTGTTTTTTCCCTTTTTTTTCCAGTTCATGTCTCAAGGGAAAAGTGGAAATAACTACCCGTCCTCAGCTCTTCCCAAACCCGGCAGCCAATTGGACAGCATGCTTGGAAGCCTTCAGTCTGACTTGAACAAGCTCGGGGTAGCGACGGTTGCCAAAGGGGTCTGCGGGGCCTGCAAGAAACCAATTGCTGGGCAGGTAAGTGGAGGAACAGGCCCCGCTTTTCCCTCCACTGTCAGTGTCTTGACTACGCCTGGGAGGGCTTTTGAATCCTGCAGCTGAACGGTCTGGCGAGGCTGGAGAAACTGAAGTACTCTATTTATCCACCGGCCAGGTACGCTGGAAGCTCCTCCAGTGACCTCTGCCCTGCCCCCATGAGGGACTGCCCTCTTCTGGGACAATAGGTAATTCGGTTTTCATGCTACCCCAGTCCAGGGATCTGGCCCAGTTCTTCTGATCTTTCTTTCTCGTTTGCGCTGAACTTTGCTTCTGGCGGTTTCTTTGTGTGCAACGTGGCGCCCATGCTCAGAGATGGTGGAGCATCAACTGGAGCCAACACACTCTTCCTTCCCTTCTGCCCTCCAGGTTGTGACAGCAATGGGGAAGACCTGGCACCCCGAACACTTTGTCTGCACCCACTGCCAGGAGGAGATCGGGTCGCGGAACTTCTTCGAGCGTGACGGCCAGCCCTACTGTGAGAAGGACTATCACAACCTCTTCTCCCCTCGTTGCTACTACTGCAATGGTCCCATCCTGGATGTAAGTCTCCTGCCTCTTGGTGGCCTGTGAGATGGTGGGCCAGAACTGCTCAGCCGGTCTCTTTGTTGCTCATCCTTTTGCTGTTTCGGCGCTTCTTTGGTCCCGTTCGTGGTGGCTATCCCGCTCTTGAGTCATGGTTGCTAAGCAAAGATACTGCATAAATGCATACACTATTTATATGCAAGGATCATCCTGATTTTTTAAAATACAGTATGACCCTCGTATCTGCAGGATAGGGATCTACTGTTTCACTAATCTGCAGTCTGAAAATATTAAAAATATTTTTAAAAACTAGAAATATGTATTTTCCTGATGTATTTACCGAAACCGGCCACCAGAGGGAGCGAGATACCATGCTATGTGTTCATGTTGGTGAAGACAACCTCACTGTGGTCTCTGCCTCCCTCTAGTATCCCATTCTGGTAATATATGGTGAAAATACTTTCTGGATTTTTTCTTTGACTATGCTACATATAGCGTTTGCTATTATCCATAGTTTTCAGCATCCGTGGGGGTGGTGGAACCAATCCTTTGCAGATACAGTGGTGCCTCGCATAGCGATTGCTCCGCATAGCAAAGAAATCGCTTTGCGACGCTGATTGTGGGAACCCGCGATCATTGCAAAGCCCCCATTTTCGCACAGCTGATCGGTGGTTCCAAAATGGCCGCCCGCTGTTTTGCCTTGCTTTAGAGGCACCGAAAATGGCCGCCACAATGGAGGATTTTCGCTTAAGGTGAGTTTTGGAGCCCAAAGTAACACATTGAAGGGGGTTCAATGCGTTTCTATGGGCTTTTTAAAATTGCTTAGCGGTGAAATCGCTTAGCAGTGATTTTTGCTGCACGCATTAACGTCGCTAAGCGAGGCACCACTGTATAGGGATCCTATTGTCTTACACAAGTTAACAAGTACCATGTATCATATATAATATTAATATGATTCTTCCTCTGTGCAAATTTTCAAAAGAAATGCTATCTATGCATTATTTGTACAGCCAATCTGAATAGGAGATTGCCTATATTGTCCCCATAGTACAGATCTGAAACTTCACTTAGCAGTACCCAGTGACTCACTGGTAAAATGAGCTTTGGACTTAGAGGGTTCATGCTATCAGCAGCACACAACTGTGGCTGGCAGGCGATAGAGGCCACGCATGTTTGTCTCCAGAGGCTGGCCTACACAGCACCAGAGACAGACTGGCAAAACTTAACACCGGGAACACAAGGTGAACGAATGAGCCAAATCCGTGCTGCAATTTCAGTGACGTCGTTCTGGTTTAATTAGAATGATTTCCATAGAGGGTGCCTGTGGAACACCTAACTTCTGTTCCGTGCACTGTAGAGGGGTCAGGATGAGACAGCCAGAATATCCAGGATATCTATAGGAACTGAAGAGACGGATGCAGGGAGAGGAGGCAAAGCCTCTTATTTTTAAAAGGGATTTAGACTGGAACGTTTACACCTCCGGATTATACTCCCAAGTTGGAAAGGAAAGAATTCCTTTGGTAATTCCCGTCCGAAAAAGAGGTCTAAAGTAGAACAGTGAAAGGGCGAAACTGAACATCCTGCAGGGGGTTATTGCAAGCCTTTCTTGCCCTCTCCTCCCCCCTTGCAGCCCTCTGGATTTCCTGGGAACTTGCTGCAGGTGGTTTCCACCCATCCAGGATCTGTAATTGGAGTTCCTGGGCTGGGCCTTACAGCAGGGGCAGAATGAACCCACATTTCCGCTGGCATCTGCTGGTCCATCAGCAGAGGTTCTGTCTTGGAGACCGGCTACGGTTTTGTGCCAAAATGTGTTCCTCACCACTCCCGAGCTCATCATCCTGCCCTCTGTTCCTTTTGCAAATTTCAAATGCTGCATCGTGCACAGTGATCTATTGCAAGGGTGGCGTGGATACGAGGAGAAAGCCATCAGTCCAATTGCTGTATGTTAAGAGTTTGGGTCTTTGCATTGCCTGCTTGTTGGCTTGAGACTCTCATTTGTGTCTCAGGGTATGCAATAAGCATTCTCTCAGCTCACTTTATGTTTCTCAAATAAGATAGGGCCCAGACTGAGGGGAGGGCTGCCACCTCTCTCCCCCCCCCCCATGCCTGCTCCCTGATAGGATTGCCTCGCTCTGCCTAGTGAAGTCTAGGGCTAGATTAAGGCAGGCTGAGGCTAATGTGCAAACTATGTCAAGTGTAAGAAACCTCATAATATTATCCTACAAATATGTATTATATGAGGGTTTTTTAAATTTAATTTAATAATAATTTTGTATAGGGAGGTCATAGAATCATGGAATCGTAAAGTTGGAAGGGGCCTCTAAGGCCATCAGGTCCAACCTCCCCCCCTCAAGGCAGGAATACAAATCTAAGGAGATCTGCCAGGGGGTTGCCTAAGTTTCTCTTGAAGGCCTCCAGGGTTGGAGCACTCCCCAACTCCCGAGGTAACTGATTCCACTGTTGTACTGCTCTAACAGTTGGGACGTTTTTCGTGATATTCAACCAAAATCTGGCTTCCTGTAGCTTGAGCCCCTTTGCTATGTGTCTTGCACTCTGGGATGATGGCAAACAGATCCTGCCTCTCCTCTAGGTGACTACATTTTAGGTATTTGAAAAGTGCTACCATATCACCCCTAGGTGACTACATTTTAAGTATTTGAAAAGTGCTACTATATCACCCCCAGCCTTCTTTTCTCAAGGCTAAACATGCCCAATTCTTTCAGCCTTCCCTCCCTAAGGCTTGGTTTCCAGCTCCCTGATCATCCTTGTCGCCCCTCCTCTAAACTTGTTCCAGTTTGTCAGCATCCTTCTTGAAGTCCAGTCTTCTAGATGCGGTGAGGTGAGGTCCCCCATCGTCCGATACCTTGAGCTGTAGCTTACTTGGCTGATGCTTAAATCTGCCAGCACTGGAGACCTTTAGTCGGCCATTGAAAGAGGGAAGGAAACATTTGGGTTTAATTCTTCTAGAGAATGGCAGAACAGTTCCAGAATAGTAAGAGTTCACCCAGGATGTCTTCTCCTCACACCCTTCACTCTATTTTTTTAAAAACCCTTCTTCCCTCCTACCCTCGGTTTTCCTGGTTACCTTCCGTTTTGCCTGTTCGCTCACCGTCTCTGGTCTCTTCCTTTCAGAAAGTGGTGACAGCCTTGGACAGGACATGGCATCCAGAGCACTTCTTCTGCGCGCAGTGTGGAGCGTTCTTTGGCCCTGAAGGTATGGGTGATGGTGGATTACTCACATAACTTGCATGTGTGGAACACAGGGTGGTTTATTGTCAAGGTGTGAACTGTACAGTGAATTTTAGGCCTTATGGGGTGACGCTCAAATTACCTTTAATGCCTTACTTACCATTTCTCACATCAATGTCATGACTCCATGTTTGCCCTCAGCGCTGTTGTGGATGGTCAGTGCAAGCAAACCTCGCACGAGACGAGTCCTCCTTTGGTATTACGCAGGATTACATAGGATTATGCGGTGCTCAGAGCTGGGCTTGACTGGTTTTGCTGCCTGTGCCAAAGAAGACACAGGGGACTGGCACTTCAGTCCTGGTGGCAAGGCAGTGCCTCCCACCACCCTCGAGGGTAGTGACGCAGATTAGGTGGGACAACACCGTCTGTGAGGTGCACACATACCGTATTTTTCCGTGTATAAGGCTATACTTTTGTCTAAAATCTTTAGACTAAAAATTGAGGGTCGTCTTATACATGGATGTAAGCTGAGGAGAGCAAACAAACAAGTGGAGGGGAAAGCAGGGATCAAAGCGATCCTGCAGGGCTTTGATCCCTGCTTTCCCCTCCACTTGCTAAGCCCCACTTAGATTTCTTAATTTTGGGTTAGA